GGGGGGGGGGGCGGGCGACGGCGCGCGAGCGGGGCTGTAGGTGGAGCTGTTGTGCCGGGTGCGGGGGTGTCCCGGCCGCTGGGGAAGGAGGTGAGTGTGACTGTGGTGTCCGGGAACGTGTGTGTGTGGCGGGGGAGGGGCTGCCAGCGGGCGTGCGGGCGCGCGCACTGTAACGATCACTATCCCTCCTCCTTCCTCCCCCGACTCACTTACCCCCCCTCCTCCCGCGCATGCGCAGTCGCTCCCCCTCCTCCCTGGCCCCTCCCCGCGGTTCTTAGGGGCGAGCTGCGGAGGCGGCGGCTCAGGCTCGCGCCGGCTGCAGTGGCCGCCCCGGGAGCGCAGCCATGAACCCCAACTGCGCGCGTTGCGGCAAGATCGTCTACCCCACCGAGAAGGTCAACTGCCTGGACAAGGTGAGGGGAGTTGGGGGCTCTCCTCTCCCGAGTGGGTCTTGCAATAGGATCCAGGGGAAGAGGCGCAGGGGTTGTGGGGGGACTCGGAGGGGTCAGAGAGTGGGAGTGGGGGGTGGGAATTTGGGGGGGGAGCGGATGGTGGATGTCAACGGGGGGTGACACCTCCTTTCCCGTCCCACCCCTTTGCACAGAGCTGCTGACAGGCCCTGGCTCCCTCCCCTCCCCCCTTCTTACCCTGGAGGTACAGCAGGGTATGGGAGCTGCCCTCAACCTTGTCTGCTGAGCCTCTGCCCCTAAGCCCCAGCCCTAACAGAGTGTCCCTCATAGAGAGAGAGAAAAAGGGTGTCCCTTACAGAGAGGAGAAAAAAATGCCTCTGACTCCAGCCCAGCTCTTTGCCCTTCTTGGAAGAAGCAGCACATAGTTGGATACAAAAGCCCCTTCCTGATTTCTCTGTGAAACTCTGAAACGGCTCATTCTGGCACAGGAGGCTTATGGTTTTCGTTTCGTTTGTTGGTTTGTTTGTTTGTTGCTTTGCTTTCTTCCAACCAAACTCTTGCAAGACTGACTGAAGGTCAGAAGAGGTCGTCTAGAAATGACACCCTGAATTAAAGCAGCATTTGTTCATTCTGCCCTTCTAAGAACACTTAAAAATAATATTTCTACCATTATGGGCTGCTTTTAAACACAGCTTTCCATTTGCCTTTTTTTTTTTTTATGTAATTAAATAAAAAACAGTTTCTGCACTTTGAGGCAACTGGTAAAGGAAGCTAGCTACTGCTCCTTTCCTCCTGTTAGCAGCGCAGCTGGGTGTCTAAATAGACAAAATGGAAAGGAACAGCTAATGCTTCCCCTCAAAGCAGAGAACCTCATCTGTTTTACATTAGCTGGGTTTTTCACTCCACCGCTCTGATTGATTTAATTCTGGAACTTAGCAACATCTATGTAGATTCTTGATACTGCTCTCATTGCCATCTGGACTTGAGTGTCTTGTTTTGGTGTCTTTTTTTTTTTCAGACTGAAATGGGGAGCGGGGAGGCAAATTCTCCTTTTTAAAGAAGCAATTGTTGCTATAGATGATGGATCTATGTGGTGCCTGAGGCCAGAAGAGATTGAGAAAATGCTCATTCCATTGATTTCTACCTTCTTGGTTACAAGGACTTTTGGTTGCTGGCATCTGACTAATAGTCACTGCCCCAGCAAAGTTTTTCATCATTTCTGCTGGGTCCTTCTGAGCTGTTTGTTATTTTCTCCACCCACCCTTCCCAGGGTCTTGGGATGACCAGTTCTCAGGGACTAATAAAGGAACTTGAAGAATGCATGCATTTCGGCTGCAGCATTCTTGAATCTCAGTAGAGCCTGTTGCTCACATTTTTAGTGCATGATGTTGCCTTTTTTTTTTTTCCCAATTTAGGAATTTTTTTTTTTAAGTTGAGCTAATAAGCCATTCCTGGTTCCCTTCTTGTTCAAAGTGACTGTGTTGCTGGGCTCAAGGAACTGCACACTGTCTGAACTGTAGACAACTGGGAGGAGGGATTATTTTAATTGTGTGTTTCAGCTGTCCCTCATGAGCATGTAGTTGTTACTTTAGCGCAGTTGATAGCTAGCTTAAAGGCAACCGGGCTAGCACCAATTCTCCACAACTAATGTGGAGCCTGATGCAGGCAGGGTAGCCTATAGCAACAGCCCTCATTTTTAATAGAGAGGTGCAGCCTGCTTTGGACCTATCTCAGCAGGCAGTTTTGTATTAAAGAGGAAGCTGTCAATAAAGTGAAATTACAATGCAGCTTTCAGCTGCAACTTGCATCTGCTTCAGTTGGTGAAAGGGATGAGGTTGGGCTTGTGGTGATTCCTGGTGGAAGCTAAATCTTACTGACTTCCCCAAATGTGAGGGGTTATCCCTGTTTTACTGTGTGAAGGTCAACCTAGTTTAACTGTACTCAGCACAGATCCCGGCAGGATTTACCACTGTCACTTAAAAACAGCCCACTGCCTGCCTTGGTGCTGCCAATGCTTCAGCTGAGAGAGGGAGCAGTGGCAAGGAGTTTAGGGGGGAAAGAGAATATAGGTAGACTCCCATTAGTGAATCTTTAATGTATATCAGGGTGCTATGTATCCTTCAGAACAGATGTACTTTTGGGGGAATATAGCTGGGCATGATCCAGCTTTAAGCACGGGGTTGGACTAGATGACCTCCTGGGGTCGCCTCCAACCCTAATTTTCTATGATGCTGGGATGGGTAAACTAAGATTTTTCTAATAGCTTCCATTCTGAGCTGGATCTGGCAGCTCCATAGCAAATTGGGGAAAGTAATTGTTCTATCTCACTAAAGCTGCATTGCAAAAATAGCTGGAGAAAGAAATAAGAACTCTAGATACTGGAGGCTGAGTAGGTAGGTGGGACTCTGGCTGGTTGTTCTAGCTTCATTGATATTGACAAGGTAACAGGGTAACGAAATGTCTGTGTTTTTAGACAATCTGTTAGGATTTCAGGAAAGGACACATTGTAACTTCTGTATGCTGCCTCCCCCACCCCTTCTTGATAAGAGTTCAATTAGTTCCAGATAAGATGTTTGACGAGGCTGACTTCCGCTGTGGAAATGACACGTCCTGTGTCACTCATAACTGGAACAAATGTTGCATGGCTTGGCGGTTGTGGCTATAATTGCTAAATTAAGAAACCCACAAAAAAACCCGGTCAGGCGACTTCATCATTATCTGGTTGTTTCTTGAGGTTTTGTTAAATAGAAGACAAATGACCAAGGGCTTATCTTGCACTTTAAGCAGAGAATTACTACTCTGTCTGAAGTGGGGATGTGGTATCATACTACTTTAGTTATGAAGAGGTGTAGCAACTCATTCCTTGGGGCTTTGGTCACCAATAGGTATGCAGCCATAGCTTCTTTTGACATAGCTGATGATCTTTCTGCTACTACTGACTTGACTAAATAGGCTGGTACTGCACCATACTGAGTATCTACAAGTGGTCTGCATGAGCTACTTGCTAGCAGTCTGCAGAAGTGGTTAGTTGCAGCCGCTTTCCGCTCTTGTACAGAGGTACAGTGTGAGCAGGACCTGGGCAGCTTCTTCCTTCAGTTCATCAGAGTAGCCTGCTGAGAGAGACAACACTGCTACATTGTATGTTGCAGTATAACTAGGATCTGCTCCAGGAGGTGGGGGGGGGTGTGAGCTGTTTTTTTTTGTCCCCTTTTCCCCCACCCTTGGGGAGGGAGGGGGAGGCTAAAAGTTACCAGATTTGAACCTTCTACAGCATTGTACCTATTTGTGAGGCTCTCATGTCCTTTTTAATTAACTCCTGCGAGAGGGTGAGCGGGAGCATTATTTGCAAACATGAACAATTCATTACCTATGTCTCACATGCTGCTGTTCTTCTCACCTCAAGTGCTAGAGCAGGTTGCCTGGATTTCCTGAGTTTTAGATAGAAGGCTTCTCTCCTTTTGGCTCTTGCAGTTGATTATTGCAGCAGTGTCCCCAGTAAATGATACATCAGTCTGAAGTGAGGAGTGGAGCATATAGCAATTTCTGTTGGAGAAAAATGCTGCCCAGACCCAGTACCTGCACAGTAGCCTACATCCCGCTTATGCCTAGTGTAGAAGGCTGCTTGTTGGCTGGATGACAGGATGAGCCCTGCCAGCTAGGAAGGAGTTCTCTGTTCCTTTTCACTGCCAGAAGGCTGGGTATTCTCTTTGAGAGAAGGATCAGTTGGGATCGTAAATACCTATGGTTCTCTCTGAATGAGGTGTTCGTGCACCTATTGTAATATGAATCCTATACAACTTTAAGACAAATTTGTCAACACCACTGCAAAGCAAGTCAGCAGCATCTGCATTTTCCAGATAAATGCTTAAATTCTTCTAGAATTCAGGCCCTTAATCTGCCTCAGGCATTTAAGTCTTGGGTAACTAAAGTAAATTTAAACTCCATTGCTAAGTGACTCAGTCAAATCACATGGGTTTAGTCTCCTGTTGCCATACTTCTTG